CCAATGAACATTCATATTTTGAACGATAAAGTGGTAAAATAGTGAAAAAAATCCGGAAATATATTTTATCAGTGATTTTTTAAACTAAAAAAAATAAAAAAATTATAAAATATATTACTTTTAATTAAAATAATGGTGAAAATCTTTTTAAATCTTTTTTTAATTATTTTAATTAAAAATAATATATTTTATAATTTTTTTTAGTTTAAAAAATCACTGACAAAATATATTTCCGGATTTTTTTCACTATTTTACCACTTTATCGTTCAAAATATGAATGTTCATTKGGGTTTTTTCCGGATTTTTTTTCACTATTTTACCACTTTAACTAGTTGTACAAGTCATAAAAATGTATCCAACATGTTTTATAAAAGTTCAAGAAGTTATTTAACATGTTTTGGATTGTTCAAGGACTTATTTGTTCCAAAAATTGTCCAATGACTTATTTAACATTTTTTGGAATGTCCAAGGACTTATTTGTTCCAAAAATTGTCCAATGACTTATTTAACATTTTTTGGAAGTTTAAGGACTTATTTAACATATTTTAGAATGTTCAAGGACTTATTTGTTCCAAAAAATTGTCCAAGGACTTATTTAACATGTTTTGGAATGTTCAAGGACTTATTTGTTCCAAAAAAAAGTTTAAGGACTTAATCATTCCAAACAAGAAAGTTCATTGGTTTTTATTGTATTTTTCCCAATAAATTATTACACATGTGAGTACGGCAAACGTGCCCGTTTTTGGCACCAAATAAGACGTCGTTTCACCTTTCATTTTCACCAATCAACTCTGTGAACGCTAAACAAGATGTATCGATAATTACAAGTTCTTATGCACAACTTACAACTCCAGTGTCTCCAATAAAACCCCCTACTCCTTCATTCCCCAAAAACTCGCTGTTATCCAGCGGAGGGAAGGGAAAAGATTCGTTAATGGAATATAAACGCAACCATTAACAAGTACAAGTAGACTGATCACGACCTCAGATTCGTTTCCATTATCTGTGTCTTGGTGCATTTTGCTTTGGCTGGATCCTCACCGGATTCCATGGCTTCCATCATCGAATCTGGTTGGACGGTATCGTCATCACCTTTCTCATACTCTATTAATGTTTTGCTTTGTCAATTTACCCTAGATTTGGTCCCATTGACGGATAATTAGTAGTACTAATTTTTGGATGTATGTTCGGGTGTTGTTGGCTTTGAATTTGTAAATCTGTATAAGATTAATCTACCAGTAAGAAATTGTTCTGTTATATATGCGTGGATTAATGTGTGATTAAACTTAAATGCTGAAAATGAGTATTGATTTGTATTGGAGGAGATTTTCGTGAAGATATGTATGAGTAGTGGTTTGATTTTACTATTCATGAAGTTTCCGTCGCATAATTGCGTTTAATGTGGTAGTATAGCACATGCATGAGATGCACACGTCAATGACTGGATGTAAGAATGACATCTCTACACTCTGAAGGTATCAGAAATGTCTAGAGATCTTATTAATTGATGGGAGGATTACAGAAATAAGTGAAATGGCATGGAACCGAAGTTTTTTTTTTTGACCCGATATGTGAGCTCACTAATCCCCAGGACGACCTGCTGTGCGGGTAGCACAGAGTAACTTCATTTAAACCTCCATGGCCACAAGGGGATTTTTATTCCACCTTGGATTTGAACCTGGGACCTAGCTTTTGGAGCCCAAGCTCAAACCAATTAGGCATCACCCTTAAGTTTTTTTGTTTAATAATATTGCCAAATTGTTGCTTGACCTCTAAGTCTGATTACAGTACGTCTAAAAGATTTTACATGTTTTTTAATGTTGTTAAATGGCATTCTAAGTTTTGATTAGACAAGGTGTAAATGATTTTTCAAATTTTTATTTGAACAATTTTTGGGCCACATCAGTACAAGCAGCTTGTGATTATCTGAGGAACTTAGTGAAGTTGTGGAAACATATCCAGGAACTTTGCAGTTGCACATAATAAAAAGTTGCCAATGCCTTTTGTAGATGATGCAGTTACTTGCTTCTCTGTCAGCAACTCTTGCAAGCATTTCTTATTAAGGAGGTTCATAAAAACAATTTTTTTTTTGGGGAGGAGGGGGGGAGGCTGTTGGTTGTGAGATACTAGAGGGAAATAATTGTCTAGTTAATGCTTCTTCTAATCACTCGCTCCATCTCTAAGAAATAATGATGTCTTGCTTTTCAATTGTACCAAAAAGGTGTCGCTTATTACCTAAAAGGCTTCTTGCCCTTCTCTACCAGCAGTTGTGTAAGTGTATGAGAAGAGATGGGTGATGAAGATGCCCAGGAGCAATAATTGTTGTGGATCCACAGGGTGAGATGACCCATTATTTCCAAATTTATTCTGTAAGTGGAAGTGTGACAATCAAATTGGATACATTTTAGACTATGCCATGCAGCTTGGGATAAAAGGCTGATGGTTGTTTGGTTTTAGCTGGGGATAAATGGATAATTCACTCCCAATTTCTATTCTTTTAATCCTTTTCTTTGAGACTTGAGATCCTGCTTAACTTATAGGTTCTCAGCTAGTTTTTTTAGTGTTCCAGGCCAATCTGATTTTTATCATCCTGCCTTTTGTGCTTTACTTTTTATCCCCTCCTCATTGGCATTTGTGTTGTCCTTGAAACACATTAATATGCATATTTGGTACGTTACTTCCAAACTGTCTATCATCAACGTGTTAGAAAGAGGTATTGTTCTGAGGCCACTTTTGAATTCAATTTCCAAGCAATCTACTATGTAGCAAGTGATCCACATTTATTTAGGAGCATAAGCTTAAGAATGTCTACATTGCTTACTTTGTAGAAAACTTAACTATCTGATGAATCATATAATTCCTTTGAACCAATACATCCACAAACCAGCTGGTCACACAAGAATATTTTATAAAAAGTTTGGTCGGTTCTTGTATTTGCTTCATCACATTTTATGTAGGATATTTTTTGGTAATACAACTTTATGCTTGTGGCTTAGCACCCAGATGGAGGCTGATTGCTGACCTTTCCTCTGATATTTCTCCTATTTGCAGTATTTGATCACTAATTTCAGTGACTTTCAGCTGGCTTGCCTTGGAAGTTTTTTGCTTCATGAATCTGTCTTCTTCTTATCTGGACTTCCATTCATTTACTTGGAAAGGGCAGGATGGCTCAGCAAGTACAAAATTCAGGTACCCATTTCATGACCTGAACCCTTTTGACTAAAACCTACAGTGGTACCTTTGTTTATCCATTGTCACATTTTTTAATTGTTAATTGTTAGTTTATGTTTGTTATCCAAATGCACAAGCTGTTCATTTAATCCACATGTAGTTTCAGATATGCCCAATTAAGTTGGATATAATCTATCGTGAATAACAATTTCTTTTTAGCTTCTTTAACTCTTTCAACCTAGTCTACACTGCATTCTGTAACCTGTAATCTAAACCTTCATGACATTACCATGGATTTTTATTGCTGAACAAAAAGGTTGAGGTATATCTTTAAGTTCTTCTTAAGTACCTCTAGTTAGTAGATATGATTATTTGCAACTCTCTTATAAACCACTTAGCCCAGAGAGAGGGAGATTGTACATGCAGCCGGATACTATTGTTGAGGTTTTCCACCAATTAGCTAATCAGACGCGAGCCCCTCCTCGGACGGATTCCTCCTTTTGCTCTAATTTCTGAAACGCTTGAGATCATGATAGTTGATAATTGAAAATGACCTGAACTAGATTACTTAAATAAGGTGGTATGTTACGAATCTAAAACGCAAGTGTTGCCTCTGAGAATGCTCCATGCTCCATGAATGGACAAATAAAGTTGTACCATCCTTTTGCACCTGATCCCCAATTATGATTATTTATTTACTATTTTATGGATAACCTAAAATTAATTAGGTAATGACATAGTATCACAAAGAGGGGGCACCACCCGTGTGCAAGGTACATGTGTTGTACACAAATTAAGTTCTACACAAGGATTCCACTGTCACATACAATATAAATTAAGGGCTGCGAGGCTACTTCCTATACAAACAAAAACATTGTCCAAAAATCCAGATAATTGATGTAGTCGGTTCTATAAACCCCCCATACAGGCCTTGTTGAGACCAAATTATACTAGGTTGGATTAGGTCTTGTTGACGTGTTGGAGATTGTACAATATTTGGGTAAATCTACAACGCCCATCAAATTCACCATCCAACCCACCACGGTTCTTTTTAGTAGAAAAAACATGTGGGTGGTTTCACTCTCCTCAAAAAAACGGTGAGTTCAGTCATAATGTAGGTGGATGCCATATATGTATCTGCAAAAAGAATTCCCCTTTGAAAAATGATAATGGAAATATGCTTTCAGCTACAATGGTTAAGAGCTAGAAGAAAATATCCACAAGCTTCTAAATTAATATACCGAAGCACAAGCCCAAATTTGTATAACCTGTTGCTGTATATAGAGTCTGATGATAGTTCTTGTTTTCTTGGAACTGGTGACCATGTGCAATGCCTTTAGAGGCATAAACAACTAAAAAGTTGATGAAGTTGCTGAGATGGTTAGATGTCTCCTCCAAGTTAAAAGAATTAAGTTACATGCTGTGTCTAACATATATCTTATCTCTGCACGGGGACTTTGCTATAAAATTTCTTGTAGATTCTACATCTAGTGCAACCAGTTCTTGTTTGGCTTTGCTGTATGTTAAGCAAACTTAAAGAGACAGAGCTACATGGTTAATACAAAATAGATGATCCAAAAATGATCTCTATGGCTCATATGTACTTGCATGACAAATTTGTGAGTCAACAATTCTAATAAGCTCCATTAAACATTTAAATATGGAGGAAAACAAAACTCGGCTCCTAAAAACAATATATTTTTAGGCGGACCTTTATAATAAGTCATAGAAGAATAATCTTTAATCCCTAGTTCTGCTGTAGTGTGTACGTAGTACATGTATATGCTTCATTGGATGCACCTTCAATAGGCTTAAACTGCATCTCACCAGACCTTTTCTTGATGTCACTAATTTCCTACATTTTTTATGCAGATGAAGATCAACTCCACTGAAGCTCAAAGTAAATGCATTTCACGGCTTCTGCTGTATCATTTTTGCGTCAATCTGCCTGTTATGATTGCTTCCTATCCCGTCTTTAGATTCATGGGAATGCGAAGCAGTCTTCCATTGCCATCCTGGTATATTCAGGTTCTTTATGTGCTACAGCTTTACTTGTAGATTGTTGTTTGGCCCTCGAGTTCCCCCCTGGGATCGATCACATCCCCTTTTGTGAAATTGAAAATTTGTTTTGCAGCATCTTTCTTCCAATAAAGTAATATATGTATATCTTGTTGTACTCGACTTCTTATGATTTATATACCTTATATAACTGAGCAGGAAAGTAGTATATGTTTATCTCGTTGTACTCGACTTCTTATCATTTGTATTCCTTTACACTGTGCAGGAAAGTAATGTCGACACAGATCCTATTCTATTTCATTGTTGAAGATTTTATATTTTACTGGGGACACAGGATTTTACATACCAAATGGCTGTATAAGCATGTCCACAGTGTCCATCATGAGTAAGTGAATGGACCTGTCTGTTCGCCTTTATCCACTACAACAAAATCGGATTTACCAAAGATGTCTAATTGCCTTAATATACTGCCTTATAGTTATAGGGCTTAAGTTGATTGGAACAAATAATTATGTTACAATAAGATAAGATTTTAGGACGGAACTGGTCAGCCTAACAAGTTTTTTAGGACACTTTTGAAATAAAATGTTCTATTAGCTTTTTTATAAAGTGTCCTATGAACAATATCTTCTTATAGGAAACTTGTTTCTATAAGACATTTTCAAATAATGTAGTATAAAAAGATTTCAGAATTGTTCCAAAAAAACTTGTTAGGACACCCAAAAACATCTTATCAACTAATCATAACACCTTTACATAAGACGCACAATTGTTTAGTTCTACCAAGCATTTTATTAGGGCATTTAGACATATTTTGAGTCCTATAAAGCCGATTTTGTTGTAGTGGTCTAATATTTGTTGCATTCTTTTATATATTACTTATCTGTTGATATGAATTCAATAGGTATGCAACACCCTTCGGCTTGACTTCAGAATATGCTCACCCTGCTGAAATTTTATTCCTTGGTTTCGCTACCATTTTTGGTCCAGCCATTACGGGGCCTCATCTGATAACCCTTTGGTTGTGGATGGTAGTGCGAGTTCTGGAGACAGTTGAGGCACATTGCGGTTATCATTTCCCATGGAGCCCCTCAAACTTCCTTCCTTTATACGGGGGGTTAGTCTATGCACAAACTTAACACCCATCTGAGTCATTTATTTTAATATTTGCTAATAAATCTCGGTTTTTAATGCAATTTTCAGATCTGACTTTCACGACTATCATCACCGACTTATCTACACCAAATCCGGCAACTACTCATCAACTTTTGTCTATATGGACTGGTAAGTTGTTGGACCTTGTCCCATAAATTCCTCTGCTTATATTTATATACATCTTTGAGCCTTGATATCATTGGGGGAGTCTACTGGTTATAGCATCTAGGTGCAGATCTTAATCCCATCAAGATAATAGGGGTTGTCCATTAAGAGGCAACCTCTGAATCGTTAAGAGGTGTATCTTGTTTGACAAAAAAAAGTCTGCCTCTTAATGGTTCTAAAACCCTCTAAATGATTTTGTATCATGGATCTCCCGTAACCATTAAGAGCCCTAATTTCATTGTACACAATTACTAAACAATTATATTTTATTTTGCACTATATCATGAGAGCCTTTTAATCATTCTGCACCAAACCATTCAGTAATTGTCAAACTTACTCTTCTAAAGAGAAGAAAGATTCCAATGTAGAATAATGAACAAAATAGGTCCAAGTCTACAAGATGTTGAACTCCAAACACGCAGTAGTAGATCCAGGATTTTTGGTGAGGGGGTTAGGGTATTCTTTTAGGTTTTTGACTTGAGGGGGGGCCGGTTGACCTCGCCAATGCGAACACGCCCCCGCCCCTCCAATGGAGACAGATGTTGCAAAAGGTAGACCTTGATTGTGTTATTATGCTAATTTGCATATGTTGATTGTGTCACCAGGTTATTCGGTACCGACAATGGGTACAGAAAACTGAAGGCATTGAAGAATGAAGAGGAAGAAGGGGGGTATAAAGAGCATTAGCAGAATGAATGATAAAAGGTCCCTTCTTTTACTGATTGTGATGTTTGTTTGTCATTGCTTTTTCTGTTGTCTGTGTTTTAACCATAACAAGAAATTGCAGAACCTTTCAAAGACCATTCTCCTGGTTATTTCACATGACACATTTTTATTTACAATATATAACTTTTTAAACATTATTTATTAGATAAAATAAATAGTTATCTGCTTAAAGCAAGACTCTTTTTTTTTTTTAAAATGTAAATCCCAATCTCTTCCCCCTATTTTATAAGAAGTCACTGATGAAGGTAAAGTTTGAATTAGGATACAGATCTAGGCCATCTTCAAGACATTTTAAAAACCTACTCCATAAAAAAGGAAGAGGTCCTGAGGGATGTGGTGGAATATCTCATATATCTAGGGTTTGATTCCGGGCGTACATAACAATTGTGGCTACTGAGTTTATTAGGGTTGATTTCTTACGGTCACAATTTGCCGAGATTAGTTTAGATATAGCTTGGGACACCCTTCCAAAAAAGGAGGAAGAGATTGGGATTTACATAAAGAGACTGATTTGCTCCCATGTGAGGGGCACATGATGGGTGGAAAGTCTGGTAAAATCATGACGTTAACACTAGTGACCTTCAATATAGTGAAATTGAAAAAGTTAGGGACCATCAATATAGATAGTTTGTTCTAAGAGCACGAATGTAATTCGCTCTTAAATACATCATCAAGTTTTTTTTTTAATTTAATCATTTACATTATCTTATCCAAAAAAGCTACCTGTAACGGGATATGAATGTTTTAAACAAAAAAAAAAAAAACTTAATTTGTTTCACATTTCCAAACCCTACGTCATTCAAACTCTTTGCACCCAATAACATCGCTACCCCTTGTCACCTCTCGTTATGCAATCGACGTTCATTCTCCATACCACCCATCGCCGCTGTTGACTCATGTATCAATTTCTTTTTTCTTGATCGATTTTTTATCTTACAATTCTCTTTAGTTTATAACAGTTTAATGAAGTACATGCTTCATTTGTATTCTTTCCTCTTGATATGTTATAGTCACGCGTTTATTATTCAGTTGAATAATCAGATGTACATTAAGAATGGATGAACAAATCTTGATACAAATAGTTTGAGGTCTAATGTTGATATTGATGGTTAAAGTAAATCATGCACCCTTGTATTCATATTTGAAAACGCAAGGTTTAGGATCGTAGGAACCAATCTCAATCATAAAAATATAACATAAGGACAAGGACTTGAGTACAAAAACCAAAATTTCTTTGATCTTTGACGTGAAATGTTGACCATGACTATACCCTCAACCCTCCTACACATCGGCCGGTGCGTAAGGTCCCCCTCTAAAACAATTATTTTCTTTTTCTTTTTTCTTTCTTCCCAATACCAAATACTATTCAATTTCCTCATTCACGATACTTTACACTATTAATACATTGTAAAAATGAGATTATATAAAAAATCAAATTGTAAAAACGAGATCATATTAAAATCAATACATTGTACAAGTTCGGATACCTTATGTATAAGTGTTCAAAGCTAACGGAAACATAATCTAAATTAAACTGGTCATTATCGGCCCTCCTCTTTGAGTCACCCCCCTTCTCCAGCCACACCTCCCTCTTTCTCTCTCTCTCTCTCTCTCTCTGACACACACACACATTTTGAAAAAATATTCAAACAAGGAAAAAACCCGTAAATTTGATTGTTAGTTTGAAGAACAAAATAAAAAAATCACCGGATGAAGAGAAGCAACAATCAAACTGAAACGTTCCATAGAAGTTGATGCGAGGACCATGCAATCAGACACTGGCAACAATATGGGTATTTAGACCAGATGTGGGTGTTTGGCTTCGATGGAGCTGGAAAATCATAGTGGTTGTTGTGGGTCATCATCGGAGAAGAGGGAGGGTGGAGTCACCGTGATCTCGTCGGAGTTTAAATCTCTTTTCAGATACATTTGATGCCGCTAGAGTTTTGGAAAAGGGGATATGGGGTGGGGGGATGACATGATGTGTTAGGTTTCTTTTTTTGAACCTAAAATTTTGTTATATGAGTTTTTTTTATATAAAAATGTTCTAAAAAGCTGTTAAGATGCCCAAAAACGTTCTATAAACTTATTACAACATTTTTAAAAAGATTTTTATTGTTTTGTCCCATAAACGCAAGTCTTATAAAACAATTTAATAGAACGCTTAAACCATTTCTGACGACGTCCTATAAACCTAACTTTGTCGTAGTGTCTGTATGTTTCAATCTTGTTATATTCGTGAGTCGAATGTAGGTTGCAACGTCAGGAAGATCAATGTTGAGTATCGGTTACGACAATGTAAGTGTCCGATATGTTTTTTCGACATTAGCACATGTATATTGGTTTTGGTATATGTCAAGTTAGGAGCAAGTATTTGAATTGCACAAACATGTGAATTCAGACAATTTAAATGTGATGCATATTTATGTACGTATAACGATAGATTCATAATTTTTATCGAGCAGTTGCATCTTTAAGGTGGATCAAAGACCATCAAAGTTGTCCATTTCACTGTTTCGAGGGATTTTAAATTTTTTGGTTGATTTCGATGAACTTTTTCGGATTTTTTGGTTGATTTCGATATAAATGCCAGATTTTTGTTGATTTTGAGAGATTTTTTCTGTTTTTTGGTTGATATTATATTTTCTGTTATCTTAGAGCACCCTTTAAAGTTTAGCGACCTTTCATATCCTTAAAAGAAATTTTACTTATGAAAATAAGTCGAATGGATGCACGAGACCCGTTTGGAGATTCGTATGTCCACCCCTTTGTAAGCGATGGTGGTTTGAAAACGAGACGTGTGTTTTTTGTTTAAATGAATTTAGCATGCTACATGTTGTTCGGTATCTTTTAGCATGCTATTGAGACGTCGATCGTCATGATAAAGAGAAATGTGGCATGATGTGTGCTTGTAAGTAGGGGTGTTGGTGAGTCGAGTTTTTAACGAGCTACTTAAGCTCGAGTTTAATGAATGTTGACTCAACTCGATTTTGAACACACGCTAAGCTCATTTGACTTAACAACTCAAGTCCATAGCCCCAATGTTCGACTCGGCTCGTTCAAAAAAGCTCGATTCAATTCTTCGATTTGAACTGAGCTGAGAAAGTCGAGCATATACTTTTTGATGCAAATATGTTCATATGTTCATAAATCATACAATCGAAGTATAAAAATCATAGTGGTCGAGCCAATAAACGAGTTAACTGATCATGAATTTGAGGCGATAAACAAATATCAAGCTCGAACATTAAAAAATATTTAAGTTCAAGCTCGAGCCTACTATTAAAAATTCATTCAAGCTCGAGTCGAGCTCGAGCTCAAACCTGATAATTAATATTTTTCCGAGCTGAGCTGGAATGAGTTGCAACTTGATTGGACTTGGCTCTTTAGAACCACTCCTTGTAAGGATTAGACTAGTAATAATATTTATTTATGTTCGTTTAGCCCGTTCGTTCATGTTCATTCGTTTACGTTCGTTTAGCATGTTAACGAACGAACATAAACGAACACAAACACACCTTATTTCTAAACGAACGAAAACAAACACAAAGATTTTCATTCGTTTACCGTTCGTGTTTATTCGTTGGTTCGGTTAAGTTAAACGAACGAACATAAACAAGCTTCCGTTCGTGTTCGTTTACAGCCCTAGGATCAATGATGTCCCATGGAGTAATTTCCCAAAATATGATTGTTTTAAAAAATACTTCCCAAATTTTGCTTTTTTTTCCGTTCATATAAATTATACAAATCAATCTCAATCGTCTATATATTTTAATAAATATTTGATTATAAATATCTTGATTGTTTTTAATATAAAAAGAGTTGATTATAATTAATAAATTTTAATTATCTTTCATAAATATTCAAAGTTTAGTAATGAATTTTCATCATTTTAATAAATATCTTAATTAATTAATTTATCTAAATGATATATTTATATTTTATACCTAAATTCAAAATATGCATCTTTTCAAAAATATTTCCCAAAATATGATTATATTTCAGATCAATAATTTCAATCACTTTTCTCTCCCTCTCTCTCTCTCTCTCTCACACACACACACACATATATATATATATATATATATATATATATATA